TGCGAAATTAAGGTACAAAAATGTAATTAATTCAAGCCAATGCCACTTACTGGAAAATAACTCCTAAACAAATAAACTCAGTTTCACACTTTGATGAATTAGCATGTTTAGCTGATAAGGATGTATAACTTTTATACATTGAAGTTATAACAGCTTCAGATGTACTTACAGCTTCAGATGTGATGGCATGAATGGGTGTAACAACCTTATGGTCTCGCCCTTCCATGAGACTGATTTTGGAATAAACCATTTTTTAACCACCTCATCAGTCAAATCCCATCTACTCTGTATCCCAAACAAAGGGCTATTAATGATATTTTCTAAATTCAAAGCAAAAAACAAAACACACAAAAAAGTTGTGCTTGGCTTACCTAAATGTAATTAAGTGTTTGGTATACAATACAGAGTTCAATCTTGATTTTTGGTACCAGAAAATACTATCTGAAGACTCAAGAGCACCATCAGCACATATCATACCTGTCCCCCAAAAGATGTTTGTCTTTCTTCTACCAGCCTGAAGCTACTTTATTCAGCTGTATGAATTAATTCTTACACTTTTTTCTCTTATTAAATAGACATTTATGTAAGCCTAGGCTCTACTGTTAATAGAACATTTCTTGATTACTGTCAGTGTTTGATTCCAGTGCTTGTCTTTTAAGTTGTAATTTCCTTATTTCACATTGTTTTAACTACATTGGCTGCAACTGTTAACAGAATAACTAGCGATTTTGGGGGCCAACTAGGAAGGCCTTAAAAAGATTTGATTAGGCAATTCATTTTACTAATATTACAACATCTTCACTTGATTATTTTAAATGAGTGTTGATGCATATCCAGTTTGGCAAAATACTTAGAAGTTAAATCATCTCTCCTAAATAACAAGCTTTCACTGGCAGAAAGACATGGGCCAAGGAATACAAACAGGATTCAGAAAAACAAATGCCATGTTTACCCAGCAAAATTTACCACAATACCTTTCCTGAGGTGAAGTTCAAGCCACTATCCTGAAACCAAAGTGATTTAATTCCTGAACAGCATCAGAGACAAAGGCAGATCTGTGGATCTGCTTTCTCCCATCCCCACTTTTAGCTATTCCTGCCCAGTAGTTGCTCCAATAAGATTGGCTTCTGAACTCCCTGCTCCAGAACTAGGAGAAATGTTGTAAGGTCTCAGACACAGCATAAACTACAACTACAGTTAGCAGTAATGCAGTGCAACCTGTCATTAAAGCATCTATTCCATTGTCTCTGTCAAATTCCAAGCTGAACTCTAGCGTCTTAGCCAGAAATACACCCAACACTACTCCTTTTTATGTGATGACATTTAATGTACAGACTGCTTTGAAGTCTTCGTCTTTCTCAACCCTAGATTTTCTTATGTCTTAGATGGATCCATCTCCTCTGAGACAGGACAGATATATTTTGATTTGATTCCATTAGGAAGGTAGGCTAAGACTGAGACAGAAGATAACCTCAAGTCTAACAGAAGTTCTCAATTATGGCTGAAATGAAAGAGGGTAAGAGATAGGAATTTTAGAAGTTCCAAACCCCCATCAGGGGAATTTGCACAAACTTTCAAAAAACCGCATACAACTTAGTTTTGAACACTTGTTGGGATGGATCATCCATAACTTCTCTAGGGAGCTGTCCCACTGCCTCACCACCCTCAAAGCAAAGAGTTTCTTTCTGGTCTTTGCTCACCTAAACCTGCCCTCTCTCAGTTTGAAGCCTATTACTCCATGCCCTTGTAAAAAGCTCTCTTGTAGCACCTAGAGATATTGGAAGGTGCTCCAAGGTCTCCAGAGCATTCTCTTCTCCTGGCTGAACAATTCCTTCACTCTATTTTAATAGGAAAATTCTTCTCCACCCCTCTCAGCATCTTTGTGGCTCCTCTGGACTTGCTTCAGCGGGACTAAATCTATATTGTGCTGAGCTCCCGAAAGCTGTATGCAGTCATCCAGATGGAGTCTCAACAAAGCAGAGCAGAGGGGCAGAACCAACCATCTTTACCTGCTGGTCATGCTTTTGATGCACCCCCAGGATATTGCTGTCTTTCTGGGCTGGAAATACACACTGTCAGGCCATGTTTAGTTTTTTGTCCACCGAAAACTGGGTATCCTTCTTCTCAGAGCTGCTGTCAGCTGACTGCCCGCACACCCTGTACTTGTGCCTGGGATTGCCCTGACCCATGTGCAGGACCTTGCACTAGGCCTTGTGGAATTTTATGGGGTCCATTCCTCTTCTGCCCACTTCTCAAAATCCCTCTGGCTGACATCCCTTCCTACCAGTATGCCAGCTGGTGTCGCTGGCAAACTTGCTGTGGGAGCACTCAAACTCACTGTCATTGTCACCAACTAGATGCCAAAAGATATTAAGCTATGACACCACCAGGCAACCAAATCCTTGAGACACACATGAAAGACTGAAGGTGAGACCCACAAAGTACCTTTTGCCACAAGAACAGACAGTGGATATATTATGGTTTGCTTTTTCTGTATTGTTCTCATGCTCTCAACATTTAAGTGTATTCTTTCCTTTTTGTAATCAAGTAAGAAATTAATCAATTGTGGGAAACATTTTAATTCCTTAATAATTCTTTAATCCAAAGCGTTAACAACTCTATCTGGAAATACAAGTAATTTTTCCAGTTTGATGGTAACTTATTTTGTCTCTAGTGATTTTAAGGGAAAAGCAAGCAAGAGATTGTGAGATAATCTGTAGTAGGAACTGCTCACCAACTATGATTGCATGTAAAACCCCGTACACTGAATGGCTGAATATCAGACCCTTTTTGGAAAAGCTGGCTCAAGAGATGTGACCATGAGACAGTTATTTCTGAACTTATTTTCAGTGTAAACAGAGATAAAAGATGGGCTTCCAAGCATAGAAGTGAATCTTTCTACTGCAAAGGGTTTATTTTAAAAGATCTGTCATTGTTCTGATTGCTCTCATTGTCATTCATTGAAATACCAAGGGCAATGCTGCCAGGATTTGAGTGTGGGCTCACTCTTTCAGTACTGCATTCCTCAAAAGACTGAAATAAAATCTCTCACATTAAACAATAATGCCCCTACATCTAGTAATAATTAATACATTTATTACATATTACCCTAATGCAGGTTTATATAAAGACACTCTACAAATTATTGACTTGGTTCTCTGTATATGTCTTACAGTTGTTTATATAAGGGGCAATTATAAGATATATAAGAAAAAACATGTGAGCAAGCTGATAATTCAGGAGCAGTCACATGAAGTTATACTATTTTAAACTATATTTATATTAAAAAGAACTAGTCTTTTAGTTATAGTTATATTACATTAAATATACATATTATATTAAATCATTATCAAAGACATTAGTGATCTTAATTTATCTCAATGTATGCACTAAATACAAATATCCAGCTTTTACTGGTTAAAGTCCTACCCCATTTAAGTTAATTCTTCTACCACTTCAGTGCAGTTTAGGAATTCATTAAGTGGTGCAGAAACATTACGGCCACCGTGACCCGTCTTCAACAGAAATGTAGAATCAAGACTTATTATTTACAGCTCTAATGAAGCATCATTGCTTTTCAAGTAACACCTAGGATTTATTTTACAGAATACCTTTTATCTTCTTTATATCAGGGGAATACAAAGAAAGGGAAGAGATGCTGTCATGGATTACTTTCAGTGTTGGCCAGTGTACAGTAAATACTGACCAGCTGCTAACCAACTCCTTATTTACCTGACTAAAATGACCACTATAACATGCAGTCTTTCACAAGAGTAACACAGATGTCAGAGATTAGAAGTGAATATTGTTTTAAAGAATTCCACTCCTGAACAATATATTTCTTTTAAACTGTAATAATCTCCCCTAAAAGAGCAAAAAGTTGCTAAATGAATGTTGACTCTATGAAAATTTTAGTAATGTATAATTTTCCAAAGCATGAAAGAACAATGTCAGTTCTATTGCATGTGTCTGTACAGAGCTGTGGATCTGCATAGTGAGATCCCAAATCATAGCAGAAATGTAATCAAAATCTTGGTTGCTGTGAGCTCTCAAACAAAGTAGTGCTAAATTTTCCAAACTTTAAAAGTATCCTGTAGTAGATTCAGTTTCACCTGCAAGGTTAGGTCTCACTAACAACCTCACAAATGCAGACATATATGAAACGAACTTGTCAAACGAACTACTGCATCCCAAAGAGCAAGGTCAAATATTGTTTCAGCTTTTAAATTAATATTGTATAGGCTGTGTCTTCCTTTGAACTTGGTTTTATATTCTACAGAAATACACTACCTATGGCTGTTAGGAAACCTGATAATCAAGCATGAAAGTTCAGTAACGGCTTTATGTATTTTAGATTAATTCCTGCAGAGACTGGAGGTTTTCCTTTTACATTGATGACTAAATCTACTTCCTGGAATTATCATACATTTAACTAAAGTCTCCATATAATTTCACTTGCTCTCTGCAATTTATGATTCAATAATGAAAAAGCACAGCCAAGTATATCCAAAACAACAGAAAACTCACATCAACATTCTTGGATGCTGCAAATAATCTTCTATGTAAACTAGACTTCTGTTGATCATCATTCAGCATTCAGGAAAGTGGCTCATTTATTTTAACTGCAGCTTTCATTTATGTACTTCTTTAAAACCTTGTTGCCAACATAGAGGTGGATATTTATTCAAGGACCTATGATAAATTTACCAGTTCTTGTTATCACTATTATTTTTCTCAGACTCCTACATATAATGTCATCAATTACTTAAACAGGAAGGAAGGCTAGAAAAATTCAAGTAACGGGTAGACAAGATAACTTAATTCCCACACAAAGCAAAAAAAAAAAAAAAAAAAAAAGAGTGGGCTGAAGCCATATGCTTACAGCCACATCTGGCTGCAGAAAAGTTAAAATGCAGCCAGAACCAAATGCATTTTTAAATTAACAAGCTGCTTCTGGGTGTAAACATGTACACTGGCTTATTGCAAACAAATGGATGTACCTGCAGAGACACGGGGACAGTCTGGCAGCATGGACTCCACCGATGTGTCCAGGGGCTCGGAGCTGGACACCCAGTTACAGCAGTTCTGTAAGAGCAGGCATACAATTCTTGGGATAAGTCAAAAACTCAGAGCAAAAATAAATATAGATGTTGTGAGTGAGGACAAAGATCACATCAAAATACCCAAACTAGTTTACATAGGAGTCACAATAACAACTGGACAGTACAATACACTAACTTACGCTTACTGACGATGAAATACTGTAATTTCATACTAAGTAAGAACATAATTCAGCAGATTTGTAATGTACTGAAGTATCATGGTTTTTAAGTGCTACTTTGAGTTCCAGTAGACTTAAGTAGGTGCTTGGACCAACTAGTGCCTGAACTACCCACTACAAGCTTAAAGATTTTGCAAGTTGGTGTTGATATAAACAGGTATTGGTACAAACACTGAGCCTGCTTATTTGCTAACATTAAGAAATCAGAATTTCCAGGGTATTTTGATGGAGTACACTGTCGAAGGAACATTCATGAAAATATGAAACAACATACTATAACTTAACAGAAACTATCAAGATAGAATATTAATATTAAAATAATTGGAAATATAGCTGAGATGAATGTGTGTGAACACTAAAAAAAGGCAAATACTGGTCTCTGGGGAATTATATTCACAAAGCCTTTCCATTTACCTTTCATTCCTGAACCTCTGAGAAGAATGAATTTACCATGAATTTTCTAAATGTTTTGTTCCAAATGCTATTGTCATGGTTTGATGCTGGCGAAATGCCAGTGCCCCCATGAGAATACCCTCTCCCTGGTGTCTGCTGTGAGATGTGACCAGGAATAAGCAAAGCAGGCCCCCACTTAAAGAAAACTTTATTAACTAAACTACAAGTAAAAAGAAACACATAGGGAAAATGAAAACCTTCCAAAAACATTTCCTCCTCTCCTCACCAAATTTCCAATACATCCATCCCTCAGATCACCAACTCAGGGTCCATCACCACCCTTCAGACAATCAATTCTCAGTTCATCAAGAGGAGAGGAGTCCTTGTGCCAGAGGCTTCCCCAGGAAACACAGTTGAAACCTCGTGTGTTTCCATGTCACTCATGGCACTGCCTGGAGAACACCTGCCATCGTGACCTCTTCCTTCCATGCCAGTGCTCTCACCACTGCACATGGACCAGAGCTGCTCCTAGGGTTTTCCTTTCAAGGATGCTCTGTCCTGTTCCAAAAAAGAGCACAGTCTCTCACTTTCGGGACACCTGGCCCCCCCAGATTTCACCCCCTGGGGCCAAGGGGTACCAACACTGAACCCTCTTGGCTCTGAGCCATTGCTTCCCCATGGATGCAGTCTCTGTGTCACAGGAAACATTGTTCTGTCCATGGGCTATACAAGAAAAGCCCAGCCAAGGTCACTCCATCATCTTTTCCCACCTAAGATTCTTCTCCACTCTTCTGGCATCTTTCACTTGCACGGACTTTCATCACACTTGCCCATTTCCCCCTCCACTTCATCTCTATCTCTCGCCTCATTCAGATCCAGGAGGATCAATATTTGTAAGGTTTCCATTATTCGAGAAAGGGTTAAAATCTCAGGCTCTGCCTGCTCAGGGCTTCTACTGCCCTGCTGGCACCTTCTCGCTGCACCCCCCTTTTCCTTCTCCTGGATTTCAAGGTGGTACCACCAGCACAGGCTGGCTCTCTCTCTCTCCAGGGGTGGAGGGGAGTGGCTGCCCAATGCCTCTTCGTGCTTCTCCACCTTTCTGTCCTCAAGGGCCTCTTCACCTCCCTCTCTGTCCAAGGCCCGGCCTACCTCACCCGGCCGCATGGCCTCCCCCCCCACCCCCAGCAGCAGCGCCTGGTCAGGGGAGAGAGCCGAACTCCTTCCTCACCAGAACCAAGAGAGCTTCCCTCTGGGAGTTCCCTGCTTTTAACCCCCTGTGTTCTCAGAGGCGTATCCATGTCCCCAGTGGCCACCAGGTGCCAATATTCAAATCTGAGCACCTATTGGCTTGACCACAGCATATCCCAGAAAACTTACTTCCTCCCAAACCACAACAGCTATCTAATCAGAGTAGTCTATAAACTGAAGTATTAAATTATATGCTTTCAATAAACTATGATGAAACGATACCAAATCTACTGAACTGAAGATTTAATTATAAAGGAACTATATTTTTAATGAGATTACCAGCTGAACAACAAGATCTATGTTGATTGCTCTATGAAAAATCTGAGCTTTTCCTTTCTGAAAACCTGATTAACTTCATTAAGTGGAAAAGGTAAAAAAACCAAGCAACCCTTTGGAAAGACCCAATAGATTTTCTGACAGATTTTGAAAAAAATAATACCATCAGTTCATGATAGTAAAAATGGACAAATTCTCTTCTGGTAAACAGCATGTATTGTGTGTTTGTAGATGGTTGCTGCCCTAGCTGTGCACCATGGAGTCCGTCTTCACTGTGGAAAGATCCTTGACTGGTAGATCAAGTATCTTATTGTATTTCCTTAATTCATTCTGTCTGGAAGAAGATGTCAGCTGTGTTGCAATGAGGGGAGAATTTCAAAGGCTTCAGTCCCCACCAATAAAGGGTGAGGAATGGCTTTTGAATAGATTTGTCAAGGCAACCCTACTGTTCTGGGACCAGGGAGAGCAGGGACAACATAAAGGAAGGGCTGCTGTATGAGATTAGAAAGTGAAGTTCACAAAGCATAGCAGATTTTTGTAAGAAACAGTAGATCAATGAAACTATTGAACTCAATGGAAAAAGAAAAAAACAAACACACTATCCAGCAATATAACATATTTAGTAAAACCTGTTAAAATTGAAGTATTTCATGAAGGTTTTAAGGTTTAAAGTAGTAAAGCATTATAATTTTATGATTTGCATGTGTAATTTTAATTAACAGCTGAATGTGAAATTGCAAATGTAAGGTGGTAAAAGTTACAAAAGAAGTAGAATTTTTATGAAGTATTACAATCATTTGAAATAAGAAAAATTAATATTAACTACTGATAGAACACTACATCAGAGAGCTGGAGATAATACAGAAGATTAGCACACAATTAACTATCTTTTATATACAATGTGACACTTGCCTGTAAGAAATAAGTATTCTCGAAAGCAGTGTCAAGATATGTAAATGGATGATTTGTTTTATCATTCATCACAGTTCTTAATAAATTCAAAAATCATGACATCTATAGGTACTAAAAATAGGCCACCAGTGATACAGGAGAGATAGCTCAAATGAAGAATTACTTTATTTTAACAATTCATTCTTTCAATGACAGCAATTAGCCCCACAGACAGGCAACGATTAGGTGTATATTTTAATTATTATTCATTTTATCACTAGCCTTAAACCTGATTAAAGTAAGAGATATCCAGGTGATATGCTAGACTTCATACCACTCAGCCACATTTCACATATGTACAATTCTTCTTTCTTATAGGAGATTTTTAATGCTAATGTAAGTTATGACACTCCATCCACTTTTTAGGCCATTAATCATTTAACTTATTCTTTAACATCCACTTTCTGCAAATGAAATTAAAGGTAATGCACTTTTCTTATTCAGACTAAATGCTTAAAGAAAAATGGAGTTGTCAGATTCAAATTACAGGATTTAAAATTTCAGTTTTACTACATAACACATATTTTAAGTTTTGATTTCCCATAAAGAAAATGGGGATTTCTCTGACAGAGCCTGTAGGGGTTACCATTCTTTATATTTTTAACACTTAAGTCAGAGCTGTCAGGCTGCATCCCAGGTGATCCTCTATTCCCATCAGTCACGGCCTATAAAACTTTAAGTTAAAGTCAGGAATAGGTACTGTATACACTAAGTTTCACTAAATCCACGAGAAAAAGTCAAGTACAAAAGAAAGTTCAGGATGTGACTAGTTTAAATTCACTCTGTGCACCTACTGCTTTAGTGTTCTGCAATGGGAATGCTGAAAATAGAGATAAGCCTGATCTAGTAAGGATGAGACTCATAAACAATAAAAGTTTAGCTGGTCTTGCTCTAAAATATGATTTTTAAAATCTCAGCAACCTCATACCTAAGTGTAAGAGCTTCCGAGCCCTACAGGAGTAATTATGCATCAAAAAGCTGCTGAGAGAAAGGCTATTTTGCCATTTGTGCAAATCATCAAACTTAGTAATGAAGAGCTTAAAGAGGACTTTCCACCATTGCTAGATCAAACCAACAGCATGGAATGCACCCAGGACTTTGCTCCAGGTATCAGGCACTGCATGGGCTGCCTTGGCATGTCTCTGTTTTACTGTGCATCAGGAAGAAACACTGGACTCAGTGCTTAGTATTTTGACTGCTAACTTGGCAGTTCAGAAATGGCTTTAATCTTGGTTATTTTAGTGGCTGGTACGGATTCATGGTTTCCACTGTTCTGTATTATGCTGTCCTTCACACCCAGACATGTTTATTCAGCCATATACAGACAAACATACTCAAATTCTTTAAATAAAAAGGCCTTACCTCTCGCATCCACTCTCTAATAGTTTTCCCAACTTCTTGATGCCACACATTGTGAACTGAGTCTGTCAACGCCACAGCAGTTACCCTATTCTTTACTTCTGCCTCTCGTTGAATCATCTGTTAAAAAAGATTGTATTTAAAGTAATTCCTTTTACTGAACAGAGTCTGCTTACTCAGAGATAATGATCTTAAATTTAAAAAGAAACACCGACACAGATTCATAATCTGACTTCACTTGTTTTAAAGTTTATATAATTCCTAACAGGTCCAGAAAAAACAGAAACACCTAACATTTTTGAACAAAAAATTACTAACTTTTGACTGACTGAACTATTCAGTCCTATTATTTTCCATGTGGCTTGACAATTCCAGGATTAAAGGTATCACAGTGAAAAAATGGAAGATTCCCTGAGGACACCTTTTACAAGCTTCTCCAAGTTCCTATTTCAGTTCTTCAGGGAAGCTGGTACCTGTGGTTCACTGTAAGGTTCTCTTGACTATCATCTACTAATTTTCAGTAGATTGCTGTAGTTTTTCTGATGTACAATCTCACTTAGACTTGTATAGGTTTTTTTTTTTCTATCCAATTTAGCTATCTTGCATGCTCACCATGGTCCCAAAATTCTTCTCTCTTCTCCCTTATTCATATACTTACTCAGCTAACACCAAAGCCTCTCAACATTTTTAGGATATTAAAGAGCCTCTGTTGTTGCAAATGACAGTATGACTAAATAATATCAGTTCTAAAACAAATTAAATGATTGCTGCAAATAACACAAGCAAACTGACAAAGATGCTGTGGATTTCAGCACTGCTATGCAAGATAAAAGGTACGGGGAAAGAATAGTTTGATATCAAAGACAGACAAAAAGGTTTTAATCTCCTGACATGAGTGATCCTAATTTGTAACACTGGATCAAAGAAAGCATAATAAATTATACTTACAAAAGCATTTCACAATTGGTGTCATTATCGCTGTGTATGCTACAATAAAGTTAATGGTTTTTTAATCTTCCTTTTTGTATAAATGTAACACATACCATATTTCTAAAATCAGGTATTCTTTCTTCATGCTCTAGTAACTGCTTATCAGCACACAGGCTGCACCTCTGAACCCACTGTTCCATGTCCTTGCCATAAGAATGAGTCCAAAAACCTACCAGAAAAAAAGTTTTTTGAAAGAGACAGTATCTAAAAACAAGACCTGTCAGCTACACTTGCTTTAAACCCTGTACATTGAATAACTGTTTTAAACACACTTTATAATATTCCTTTTCCAGTGCTGTGCATTCTAGTAATCATTCAGCTGCACTGTCTTCCACAAAACACTATGATTAAACAGGCAGAGGTGCAAAAATATCACTGTCCTTGAAGCCCACATACCTACCAATTACTCAGAGTTATTACATGCTGGGTGAAGTTTAAAATCATCACCAGCTCAGAGTATTCCAGCATGACTTCCTCCATGAAGGGCTGGTATTCAGAAGTACGTCTAATGACCAGCAAAGATAAAAAATATGCTCTGCTTTGGAAAAGCAATTTTTTTCTCAAGCTACAGTGTCCCATGTTTCTGTTTTGAAAACTAGCCACCCAGATCATCTTAGAACATCACCCTTTTCTTCAAATCACAAGAAAATACAAAGGTGCAGTTCCCTTTTTCTTTTCCAGACCTAGCTCAGGTTTGCTATTTTCAATTTCCCTATGCACATGTAAGAACTGGCAGTCATTGATCACCATTTCTTTCTAATCTTTCTTCATATAGTACATACAGTCTTTGCTTTTCAGATCATGTATGATATATAGAAAATAATATGCAATACCCAATGTGCTCCTGGTGCTTGCCATTCAGCTTTGTGGATGCCTGCAGAATCGTATTCTCTTCACAAAGATCAGCAAAGTGAGTGAGGCTGACAATGTCATGTTTTTTGATAACTCAGCCCCAGTGCTAGGGTTAGGATAAGGTCTCACTGATGCAGAAGCAAAGAGGGATCAAAAGAATTATCTGAACTTCACGTACAGATTTCTTTACATCCAGACCAGAGGAAAAAAATTTTGGTAGGCATCCATGCCCTTCTGAGCCAACTTAGAAAGAAATAGACAAAAACAACACATCAAGTGTGGAAAGGATCAAGGGTATAACCATCACTTAAGCAAGAAGTCTAACATGTCCATGTTTTAGTGACACAGAAATGTCACAACAGAGCATGTCAAACTGAAGACACTTTTGCTTCTATCAGAGCAGCTTAAGTTTACTGCTACTATGGGACATTCACTGATAATAATAATCAAGGAGAACAGATCCAGGTTAAGCTCAAGCAACAGACCCTCTTATCAGAGATGATAATTTACCCTACAAGAAAATACAAGGAGTCCACGTACTTTTGGGCACAGATGCTTCAATACTCAGTAAATGCTTCAGATTCAATGGATTGTTAGCCCACGGTTAGAACATATTCCTCTTTTCTAAAATCAGTTTCAATTAAGGTAAATTTTAAAAATTAAATTAGTGGAATAAAATTGTAAAGGTAAAATAGATTGACTTTAAATAAAAATGTAGTACCCAGCTACCATTCAAATTTGATGTAACACAGAAGTTGTACCAGACACCAAGAGAAGGCTACTGTGGGATGCATGATTTACATTTTCCAGGACTTGTTTTATTCTGTGGAGCCTGTAGAATCTTTCAAGGTAGACATACTAAAAGTGATGATATTTAATAGACCACAGTCTACTAAAAATACTAAAATTTAGACATTTTTCTTCAGAATAATGATTTTTTTACTGAAGCAAACAAAGGCCTAAGAATTTTTTCCAAAGTTCACTTATGGCTTATAATCTTTTTACATCAATGAATTCCACTGACAGAAAGTTTTCACAGCCTAGGAATTACTTAATTTCCTGCTTAGTGCCCATTTAAAAACCTTAAACTATTCTTAGCTGACTACATTTTGCAGGACAGCTCTCTGTGAACCTCATCACTGGATGGCTCATTCCTCCCTTACACTCCTTCTTCCAATAATCAATTTACAACCAGAAGTAGGTAAAATGGCATTTCTCTATTATACGTAAATAGGTTCTCATGTATTACTGCACCACTCATGATTCTGGGTCCTCTAGACTTTCCCAATAAGCTTCTCTCTTTAGGCACTTCCATTTTATCTTTTTTCTTGTGCTCCTTCTTTGTAATCACAGTAAAGTTTGATAACTTATTTACCAAATTCCAACACTATATATTTCATTCCGTTGGAATGACAAGTTGTAGACCAGTTCTCCTTGCAACAAGTTAGAAAGCATTCAAACATCCTTTTGAAAGTCCTCTTTATCCCATTGGTTGAAAATTTGTTTCTTCACTTTGGAAGGGAAGATCTCAACAATCTAGTTGCAAAAGTATTCAGCTCTAACAGTTATATAAGCAAGAACTTGAAAATTCCTAAAAGTGCATTTCTCATGTTCATACATCATAATTACTCATTTGTTGCTCAATTTAATAAGTATTCTACTGCTAATCTGTAAGCTTCTATTACACAGTTGTCATAACATTATAATGTCAAAACGTTGATACCTGTACTATCTATAGTGTGTATAAATAAAACACACATTCACACATACAATATATATGCAGTATATTTAGCATGCATATATAGTCAGAATAGATTGTAAAACAGGCCTTCGGTATATATTTTACAGCATAATAGTCGTGTCAAATGAAAGCATCTGTGTGTTAAAAGAGGACTTAAAGGTCTCATCTTGCCAACCAGAAACCATGAAAATCCATGAAAGTTCCAGTTAGATTTAGGTAAATAGATGTGGGAGTAAATCCTCGAAACATGGAACTCTATATCAATTCTAACACTTAAAACAGGTAAAAATTCAAACTTCTGAGAAAAGTTAAAGTAAGTTAAAATATTTATTTATTTTTACAGGCTTTCATTTTTGCAGGTTCATATAATCAAATAAAAAAAATCACTTCATATTCAGGAAGTATTTACTCTTCTGAGTTGTATGTAATTAGGAATGAGAAAAAATGGATTAAAAAATGAATTGAAAACACATCCAAATTTTAATTTCTCTTGAAGTTTTGAAATAAACTATTCAGCTACTTTCTTTGTCTTCCATAGCAATTTCAGTTGTGGCATGGTGTTACATGGTATGCACTGGGCTTCAATGGGCATTATATTGGAGCAATATAATTTTGAAGCACATCTTCCATTGTATCCAGTTGCATCATGCTGATTTGAGACTCTTTAAGACGTTTTGGCATCTGCAAGCAGAATTCTTTTCAGAGGAAATAATTGGAAGCCCTGTCCAAAAGTCCGCACTGGTTTCCAGACATGGAATGAATTTGCAGCAGAAATTCCAGTGGATCAACCCAGCTTCAGCTGGACATTGCAATATTTGTAAATGCAATGGTAGATAGGAGGAGAGTGATAGGAATAGTGATAGGAATAGTGTGCAAGAGGGCAATTTTTAATTCCTTTTGGAAAGGAGCGTGGATTCCTTTTTTGGTAACTTCATATGCTCTCCTTTTAACTTGCTTGTTACCACTCTAGAGTCAACATCTTCTTCAACCATCATTTCACTCAGTCTCATACAAACCAATTAATTAACTAGTCTGTCTGCCTGGCAGCACTTGAGCCTCTCCTCAGTTATGAAAAACTTCTCTTCACCAGGAAGTATGTAATTCTGTATTCTGTAGTGCAAGTCTGTTGGTCTGGCATACCTAAGACCGTTCACTGCTTCCTGAAGAGAATTCCTGAATTTCTGAAATACTCTCAATTTTCTGCACATCTTAAAATGAAATTGGATCCCCAAGCCCTCATAAAATATTATTAACCAGGAATTAGAATTGCTGGGCAAATATGCTCGAACAACACAAAACAAAAATAATAAACAATCCAAACTTCTACCAGTTTTCATTTTCAATTAGCAAGAGCAAACATCTTCCCTAAATGAATTTGCAGATGTGATAAAATCCCTACTTGCAGTAGACAAAGCCCCTGATACACATCAGTTTTTAAACAGCAAAAGAAAATACGTTAAATGATAGCATTAGAGATTGGCCATAGTACTTGCTGATACTTTCTTCAAAGATCCACTAGATGTTACATCTACAACTG